TTGCTCCCACTGACTCCAATGATAGGGCACTATTCCTCCCACTGACACCAATGATGCGGCACTATTCCTCCCACTGACACCAATGATGGGGCACTATTCCTTCCACTGACACCATTGAGGAGGCACTATTCCTCCCGCTAACACCAATGATGGGACACTATTTCTCCCACTGACACAGATGATGGGGCACTATTTCTCTTACTGACACCAGTGATGGGCATTGTTACCAAGGCCAGGGAATTTTCTACTCCCACTGGCCATGGTCTGGCCCTTCTGAAGTCTGAAGGATAATAAAATTGCCATTTGTTTAGAAAGTTTGAAGACCCCTGGTCTAGACTGAAATATCTAATTTCTTCGACTGTAATGGTATTGTTTATCTGTAAGGTGGTCTCACATACTGTTTTTTGCTATTGAGTAGTATTTTTAAAATAAATCACCAAATTACAGGTTTCCACTAATTGGTAATGAATTTAAAGAGTAAATGTGATTTTTACATACTTTAAGCTTCGCATGACTGACAGCAACATGATTTGGACCTACATGATTGACAGACGCCTTGCACCATGACCTCTCTTGTAAATTAAAGGATTATTTCAATTTTTGGGACATTTCCCATACCCCCCCCCCTGCACTGCAGCATCCTAACGTGGTAGTGCCAATGTGGCATTGCTCTGTCTTGCTGAAAAAAAGAAATCTTCAGAGTCTTCATAAACTGCTTCCTGACCGCCCTATAGAAGTACTGCTACAGGGTGGCAGGGATGCGCAAAATCATGTGTATATACGTGATTTAGCATTTCCGGGGAGGGGGTGCACGCTCCCTACCAATACCACTGTTGGTTTCTCGGCATGTCAATCACCGGGTCTTGGCCACTCAGTGATCGTCAACGGAGCAGACGGGGAGAGGTCTATATGTAAACAGCACAGATCTCTCCCCTGTCAGCACGAACAGGCTGCTTTGTATTGCTCTGCACAGCAGAGGGGGGTAAATCCAGATGGGGGGTAAATCCTCTAGAGGGCAAGTGGTTAAATTGTGGGGAAAAACCAGTCCTTCAGCACTTCAAGATAGGAATGTCCTGTAACAGTGTTTCCCTAAAAAAAAAAAGAAAGGGCCATAAATCTTTGCAAACAAAAGTACACAAAACACATTCAATTTTGGTGAATCTCGTTCATGCGGTGCAAGTTTGTGTGGCTTCTCAAGTCCCTATATGCAGACATTGTGATGCAAAACTTTACCACTTAGATGGAAGGTTGCTTCATCACTAAAAAATAAACTGCGGTGAGAATCTGTCATCCTCCATGTCGTCTAAGAGCATATGACAGAAATCGAAATGTTTTCTTCTGTCGCTTACATGAAAAACTTGCACCAGTTGCAAATGGTATCCCACAAAAAAAAAAAAAAAAAAATATTCTTCCCAAATATATTGACATATATTTGAAATGCTACAATTTTGGCCATATTCAATATATATATATATACACACACACACACTGCATGTTGAAATGCGTTTTTTATATGTTACAAAATATATGAGAAAATATTTTGTAAAAATATATATTTTTTAAATATATTCCTCAGATTTTTTTAACATATAAAAAAGTCATGTTAACATATGTTTTTACATATATTTGTAAATGCATTCCAAAAATGTAGATTTATATTTTTAAAAGACATACAGTATATTTGAAAATGTATTTTTTGTATTTCAATGGTTTTTATTAATTAATAACAATTAACACAGGAGCAACAAATCACGCTCACGCAGGGGCTATCAATTGCACATAAAAGAAGTAGAAAAAATTAAAGAAATCAGTGCTCTAACACCAACAGGGCAAAAGATCGCCCACGCTGGGGCTATCAATGGCACTTAAATAACAAAACATAAATATAACACTGATAATAACTCAGACTAAAGGCAGCTATCCACTGCTACACCAAAAGCAAACAAAAAAAAAAAAGGGGGGGAAGGAAGGAGAAGTTTGAAAGAAAAATGATAACCAAACCAAGAGCAGGGATCCAAGAACGCCAAATCCGAACAACATCACATCCCCAGACTAGCGGGGGGGAGCGTGGGAAAGGTTTATTGCAACCACGGCTCCCATATTTTCAAGAATTTACATTGGGAGTCATTGCAGATACTCGACATCTGTTCATTGAGCATCATAGTGGTCATACGGTCCCGCACCCCCTGAAGAGGGACAAACGGGCTCTTCTAGGCCCGAGCAATTGTTCTAGAGGCCGACGAAAACAAATAGGAAGCCAACTTCTGCTGAGGACCAAGAGGCCCGGTATGGGACAATGAAGCAAAGCATACCGAGCATCCCGGCGTATGGAGAGATGGAACAAGGTGAAAAGGAGGCCAAACACACGAGACCAAAAACGAAACAGCCTCGGGCATGACCACCAGATATGCAATACAGCACCACGATGGCCACAACCCCGAAAGCATCGATCACTGCAGGCAGGATTTGCCTGTGCCAAACGAGCCGGAAACCCAGTACCAACGAAACAATACCTTGTAAGCCGCGTCCAGCGTGGTCGTATTAAATGAGCATTTAGCTATGAGTGACCAGGCCCTATTCCAGTCCTCCGGATCCACAGCCACTCCCAGGTCGCGCTCCCACTGAATGACATATGAAAGAGAACTATGCGACAAGCGTCTATTCAAAGCTGCATAGAGAAGGGAAATATTTTTCATATACTTTGTAATAAAAAAAAATATAAATAAAAAAATAAAATTGCAACATACAGTATATATATTATATATCAATATATAATATATAATATATTGAAAATGGCCAAAATTCTAGCATTTCAAATATACATATGTCAATATATTTGGGAAGAATATTTTAAAAATATATTTCAAATACATTTTTCTTCCATGTGGGATGGCCTCAGAAGCAAACATTGTCTTAACACAAGCCAAACAGTGGTATGAGGGGGTGCAAGTTCTCAGCTAGCATGATGAGCGGACTTGTGTGGGCTTCGCTGAAAAGCCTCCTAAATTCATTGCAGACTTTCCTCTGAAGTGTGTGGTCACCTTGGACTCTTCCCTTTACATAAACACCCCAATTTTTCACATTGTTTATATCAATGATGAATGTTCTTTGTCACTGGTGGATCAATCCCAAAACACTCTCGAAACGCATGCTGTACCGTCATTACAGACTTGCTTTTGCTAAATTGGAGAACACAAAACGCCTTCTGTTGCATAGATGCCATCTTGTTAGCGACTGAGGTTGGCATCAGTTTGGGCGCTTGTAGTGGTATCTAGCAGGCGTCATTTGAAATTCTAGGCCATGCCCGTTCAAGTAGTACAGGTTTCATTCATTGGCGGTACGCGGTTGCACAGATATAAAGTTTTAAAATTGGGTCTCATTCTTTTTGAAGCACACTGTATATACCATAGTTTGGAGACGATAGAACTTTTAAGCAAAAAGAAAAATCAATATATTTTTTTTTTACCAAAGACACGTAGCAGAATACATTATGGCCTAAATTTATGAAGAAATTAGATTTTATTTTTTTTTTGGATATGTTTCCATAGCAGAAAGTAAAAAAAAAAATATATGTATATATATAATATATATTAATATATATATATATATATATATATATATATTATTTTCTTTCCCTTTTTTTTTCCAAATTTTCTGTCTTTTTTTCATTTAAATCGCAAAAAATAAAACCCACAGTGGTGATCAAATACCACCAAAAGAAAGCTCTACTTGTATGAAAAAAAGATACAAATTCCGTTTGAGTACAGTGTTGCATGGACGTGCAATTACATTTAAAGTAGTGCAGTGGCCTGGTCATTAAAGGGGTAAAACTTTCTGGAGATCAAGTGTCCTGCCATTTAGGCAGGCTGAAAGTGGGGGGGGGGTCGCCTACTCAGTGTTTGTGGACAGGCCGTGCACTGCCTACAGGTATGGAATGACAAAGAGAAACCTTTTTTAAAAGCTGAAAAGTTGATTGTATTGTGCTTGGGGGGTGCTGCATTGCAATGGGGAGCTAATGTGCCTAAAGATAAATTAAAGTGTTACTAAACCCACAACAGTAAAATCAGTCTGTATATGCAGTAAAGCATACTTGTTATATACTCACTGTAGAACCTTACGGGTTAATCCTCCACATGGTGTAAATAGGCTGTTTGATCCTGACTTCTCTGATCCTCCCCTTCTTCTACTGTCCCCAATCTATCTGCTGATAGTAAAGAGCTCTAGGAGTCACTCTCAGTTTGGTGTGTATTGCTAGAGAGTTTTTTCTTTTTCTTGGGAGAGTGCATGTGATCAACACAGGGCCAATCAGCACTGTCCAGACAGAGGGTCAGGGGTTATGCAGCCTCATAGGACAATCAGAGGAGAATGAAAACTCCTCCTACAAGCTTTAACCAGTGCACGGCTGGACACTGATAGAAGTTCCAAGACTGCTATACTATATACTGCTGATGAGAAAAGGTATTTAGCAGTTTATATTTACTAAAATAATTGCATTTCCATGTTCTGTGTACTGTGGGAGACCAGATATAGTGAATGCAGGGTCCGGGGTTTATTACACTTTATTTCTTTAAGGGTTCCAAATGACCTATTGCATTTGAAGGAGAAAAACAAATTTCACAAACATATATGACATTTAGATTTGCCTGAGTAAAATAAAAATATTCTTTTTTATGACAGATGTGGCTAAACTGGAAACTCAAGAAGATACTAAATCATACATCCTGTATGGCGTTATAGTGTTTCAGACTTGCAGCATCTTTGCCCTTCTTGTAATGACTTTTAGGCGTTCTCGTGCAGGTATGTGTATTCTACACTGAAATATTATATACAGTATTTAAACAGCTTCCCCTCCGCCCTATACCAGAAATACTGCTAAAGGGCGGCAGGGGTGCGCAAAATCACGTATGAATACGTGGTTTTGCAGTTACGGGTAAGGGTGCGCGCCCTACTTGCGCCGCCACACGTGGCCTCGGCTGTCAATCTCCGGGACCTGGTGATCGCTGAGTATCTCGGACGTAAACAATACAGATCTCTACCCTGTCAGCTCCTGCACACTGATTTGTATGCATAGCAGAGCAGAGCCATACAAAGCAGTGTGCTTCCAGTGAAGCACAAACACAGCCCCTATTAGTTAAACAGCACACAGTTACCCCTTTGATCGCCCCAGATGTTAACCCCTTCCTGCCCAGTGCCATTAGTACAGTGTCAGTGCTTTTTTTTAGCACTGATCACTGTATTGGTGTCACTGGGGATGAAGTCAGTTCCCCCAGTGCAAGAATGCAGTCCCGCAATAAGTCGCTGATCATTTGTAAATGTATAACTTTCACTTACACCAATTCATTTACACATATTGGGATCTTTTTTAGCAAAGACATGTAGAAGAATACATTCTGGCCTAGATTTATGAGGACATTTGATTTTTAACATTTTTTTACTGGAAATGTTTAATAGCAAAAAGTCAAAAATATTGTTTTTTTTTTCTCAAAATTGTTGGTCTTTTTTTTTTATTTATAGCGCAAAAAATAAAAATAACGCACAGGCGATCAAATACCACCGCTCTATTTGTGGGGAAAGAAAAAAGGACGCCAATTTCATTGCTGCAGCGTTACATGACTGCGCAATTGTCAGTTAAAATAACTCAGCGCCATATATCAAAAAAATGGCCTGGTCAGGAAGGGGGGGGGGGGGGGGGATGAAATCCTCCGGAGGGTAAGTGGCTAAGGCTAGGTTCACATATGTGCGGGTGGTGCAGCTGCGGATCCTCATATCCTGCACCGAGCAATGCAGAACCAGCGGACGGGTGCCATTAATTCTAATGGCACGCCGCCCGCACTGGAAATCGCAACCGCAGTGGGGCTGCGGTTGCCAAAGAAGTGCCGGGTCTTCTTCCCTGCATGTCCTGAGGCACGGGAGTCCATTCAAATTAATGGACTCTCGTGCCTGCGCAAAACGCGGCCCGCATGGCCACATATATGTGATCCAGAGTTAAGAGAAGATTTATTTGCAGCTTCATATCAGACTTGGTTCTAACCAGGGGCGGACTGACAACTCATGGGGACCCCGGGCAATAGGGGATCATGGGGCCCCTGTGTCCTCATCCACACTTAAACCACACCCAAAAAAGCCTATGAAAGGTACCAGGGGCATCTCATGGGGCCCCCTACTGACCCCGGGCCTTCGGGCAGTGCCCGAGTTCCCAAATGGTCAGTCCGCCCCTGGTTCTAATCAAGCTGCAAGTACACTCCATTAGCCTTCATAATAATTTCACATGTAATACAAGGGATTCAAGGTTGATAAAGTTCATTTACAGTGAAAAAATATTTTTTTTATTAGTTTTGAATAGTGTGAGAAACCCGTCTGCATCTTCTTAGAGAGAAATGTACTCACTTCCTGTCCCAGTAACCACACAGAAAGTAAGGGAAACCTCACACCTCAAAGGTGAAGCAAACAGCAAGAACCTGATGGAGATTCTAACCTTTCCCAACTCTATTGCCATCAAATACTATGATTGCTCTCTATGTTCCTGTTGGGGAAATTCCCTTTACTTCCTGTCTCGGGGACCACACATAAAGAAATAACCTCCGGTGTGGTCAGAGACAGCAATAAAATTATGACAAACAATATGACCCTTCCCCAGGGGCGGACTGACAACTCATGGGCCCCCGGGCAATAGGGGATCATGGGGCACCTGTGTCCTTGCCCAAACTCAAAAAAGCCTATGAAAAAGGTACCAGGGGCATCTCATGGGGCCCCTTACTGACCCTGGGCCCTCTGGCAGTGCCCAAGTTTCCAAATGGTCAGTCCGCCCCTGCCCTTCCGCATTCTATCCAAAAACTAAAAAAATGTCATCCTATACTTAGCCTAAAAAATAATGTTAAGAACACATCATTACAATGGACCTCATACATAAATAATAGAGAAGATAACATTTTTCTGTCAAAAGCAACCAAATAGGTCGTCAATTTTAAAAATCATAGCAATACCTTAAAGAGCATGTCTAGGTAAGACCCAAAGTTATCAAAAGCCTCCCAACTTCCTCTAGATCAGGGATCTCCACACTATGACCCACGTGCCAGATGTGGACCGCTATAAGATTTTATCCTGCCCACATCTGAGGTGCACAGATTGAGGATCCAGATCACTTGATCTTCGCTGATGGGGATCCTGATGTAAGGGGGACTCTGTTGGGGTCCCAGATGTAAGGGGGGTATCAAAGAGGACCCTGATGTAAGGGGAGGACTCTGATGGGGACGCTGATGTAAGGCGGGACTCTAATGGGAATCCTCATGTATTGGGAGGATCCTGATGCAAGGGTGGATCTTAGATGGGCATCTTGATGCATGGTGGGACCTCTGATGGGGATCCTGATATAAGGGGGATGCTGATGAGAACCATGTTGTAAGCTCTGAATGAAAGTGGGAGATGTGAGTAGATCGTACCTAACCCTTATAAAACGTATAAGATGGTAGAATAGGTAGGAGCAGTGGTGTATTTAGGTTTTGTGCTGCCCTAGGCAACACAAAAATGGGACACCCCCCCCCCGCCCGGTGGAGGGAGCCTGACATCAACCAACACCAGCCCCCACCCAAGAGAGCTTTCCACTAACACACACACCCCCAGATAAAAGAGAAATACACTCTTTGGACATCCCTAGGAGCGACAATCGGGCTCTGCATACACCATCAAGCAGCTCACAGCCTCTCTCGGATCCCACCTGGTCCCCATGCCGCATATGTCCCTTCTTCCAGGGGCAGTGCTGCCCTCCTAAAAAAAATTGGCACCCTAGGCAAATGCCTTGTGGTAAATATGCCCCTGGGTAAAAGTGGGGTTTTTTTTTTAGGTGCATATGTTACCCGCCAACAACAAAAAAAATGAGTTAAAAAAATATTACAATTTTTTTTACACAAATACATTGGAAATTTTAAAAAGAAACTATTTTATTTGCATAATTCATATCCAATATATGCCATTTGAATTGAGATCCTCAAACACAGGCTGTCCTACATGTTTTGCCTACTTGGCTTCTTCAAACTTGTGAATAGGATACAATGAGAGTGATACTGTACACACATGCAGGTAAGGGGGGAGTTCTTGATGTACCGAATCTGAGGTGTGTGGGGGCAGGACAGATCGGGTAGTAGGGGTATTTTTTGATCCCCCCCCCTTATCTGCATGCGTGTATACAAGATTTAAGTGCAGCAGAGTTGTCAGTCCAAACAGAAAGTCTCTATATTGTCAGCTTAAACAGGAGGATTTTTAGCAGATTAACAGGTAAAACGCTATGAAATGAGCACATATTGAAGAAATATCCTGAATATTTTTTTATTTATGCATTTCATTTCATACAATAATAGTATATTTGTTCTCATTGCTGACTTTACAGCTTCAACATCTGGCTTTCAGAAACAAGTCCCGGAACACATTGTAAGTATTTTTTTATTTCACACAATCTTTCAAATTGCTTGAAAAATTAAAAATGTAATTTTAGATGTAAATAGCTTTTTATAAAACCTGCATTGCTAAGCTGCAATTCCATAATTTGAATAACACAGTTTAATATTGAAATTCAAAAGTAATGCATGTAGAAATCTAGCAAATACTGTTGTGGTGCAGCAGCTGAAAAATGTGCAGATACTGTATAAGTCAACAGGGGTTTTAACCATTCCCTAAATTATCCTACACTAAAACAGACAGTTTTGTCTTTAGAAATACAGTATAGTTTAAAGTGGTTGTAAACCCCTACATATACCCCGTGACATGTCACTAGTACCAATTGGTACACAGAGATTAAGCAAATCCTTCTGCATACCTTGTACCTGTTTATCTGAGTCCTCTCTCTTCTAGATCTGTTCAAAGTCCAAAATTTACACAGCATTTCTTAGCTTCAGAAGGCAGGGGGTAGGAATCTGATGTCACACACTGCCCAGCACAGAGCTCAGAGAGGAGAGTTGAGTGTAATCTGAGACCTGAGTGGAGGGAAAGGACACACCCCTCTCTACACAGTCTCATAGGGAAACATACATAGTTGAGGATTTCAATCCTATGCTGTATGCAGGTGAGTGGTTCCTGGGATTGTCTGGTGTCAGCATAGACTGTAACAAGTGACTCATTCAGATAGCAGAGGAAGAGTGGAAGGAGACAGAAATCACACTCAGTGTTTTGGATTGAGGGAAGTATGCACTATAGAAAGATATCCTTTCACTTTTACGTTAATTTTTCATCTCAGAGGTTTACAACCAGTTTAATTACGTACTGTGTGTCTGGTATTCTTTTACTAGTAATCTTTACGTGTCGAGGAAAAGAGGTAAAACCTTCACATATAGAAAAACTTTATCAAATTAGAAGAATACAGGGAGTAAACAAAATGCAGAAAATAGACCATTGGGAAAGATTTTTCCCCCACTGGAGCAAATTGGACCTTTCCACTGGATCAGCTGTGGGTATAGTGTTCTGTATACAGTATTTTTTCTATTTATTTATTTTTTCTATTGGTTAAACTTGATGGACTTGTGTCTTTTTTCAACCTGAATATGTAACCATGTCACTGTTGCAGGATACAGAAGATCTTCAATATGCTGAAATCTTCAGCACAAATATGCCTTCCCACCCAAGGATCATACAGACAGAGGAGAGGATTACTTATGCTCCTATAAGAAGAAACAAGTAGAGCTTACATTGTTCATTTTATCAAAGGAGAACTGCAAGGGTTAAAAAAAAATTGAATTAGTTATCACCAAGATTTTCAACCTCTTGCCACCCGTTTAACACAAATGTACGGTCGCAAAAGGGAGAGCTTTATCTCCCACATGCAGCATATACAGTATGTGTCAATAGGCAGACAATGTTTCTGCCTTGAGAGTATGCTCACGTCACAGGGACTGAGCTGTCAAAGGCAGTTCTCATCCAGCACTAATAATCGGTAGTCAGCTGACAGCCAATCACAGTGGTCACATGATTGTCGATCTTTCCTGCCCCCTGGCTATACAGACCCTATTAAATTTAAGTTAAAAATTAAAGGATATCTAACCCAAGAACAAAAATACTATATATATATATATACAGTTGTGTTCAAAATAATAGCAGTGTGTTGAAAAAAGTGAATAAAGCTCAAAATCCTTCTAATA